ACAGATAAATTATATTTATAATTATATTTTGATGATAATGATAATAATTCAAACTTACAATAAATTTTTATGTTATTCAAAGAAAAACTTTACATTCTTATGCTTTAGTACAAATAATTGCAGTTTTTCTGGAACCTATATATTAATAAATTTGTAAATAATTTGTGAAACAATGAAAAAGTATAATAAAATTCTTGGAAATCCACAGATGCTGAATAGTAAAGTCAAAAATTTGTAAAAAAAATAACTGAAAAAAAAAAAATCAAAATAAAGGTTGAGATTATTTGCATCATATTATTGGATATTTTGTGCAATATGTGTCATGTGTATTGGTAAAAAAATTTTGAAAGTTGGTCAATTGTAAGCATTTAATAATGACAATCCCCAAAATTTTACCAATTACAGTATGCACTTCTATCGTGGATCACAAATTAACTATTTCATGCCATCTCTAAGAAAGATTTCACTAAATATATATGTAGTAGTAGATTAACTTCTGGATTTTGATGGTTGATAATTTTACAAAAATATAAGTTGTATTAATATTGAATTTTCGTTTGATTTAAGCAAAGTGGATAAAAGGATCAACTAGTGAAACCTACCTCCATTTTTATATGTTTTGTAGTGGTCCAAGAATTAAATTCAGATTTCGAGTGGGCTTCCATGAATGTGTAATGTCAAGAAGATATCATTTGTGAATTCTAGTAAATCTGGAAAAAATTATGTTAGGATGGACGCCTAATATTAATAAGCAATCAACAGATCCACACAATCATCATAAAAATTATCACAAGTGTGTGCAAAGATTTTTTTTATTAAAATGCTAAAAATAAATTACACAACCCTGCCATATAATCTAAACCAACAACCCATTTGGGCAGAATTTGAATCATTATATTATTTTGCAGATGACTCAAGCATTTAAAAAATTAATCCCCTGAAAATTATTACAGATGTAGCTATTTCACATTTTTATTAATAACTGAATTATGATTCTTCCATTTCCTCCTCTTTCAAAAAATCCTCAAGAACATCTCTATATTTGCTCCAAAGCCACCGCAAAGCATCTTTGGCTGTTGGTCTATTAAATTTATCCTTTGCCATCAAGTTCATTCTTGCATAAACTTCAATTCATCCAATCCTTGAAGCTCAACAGAGGCTGTCTGAATCAAATACCCAACAGACCAAATATCAACATTCTCATTGTGATGGAATTCAAAAATCTCAGGTGCATGACTTTCTTTAGCTAATTGTGTGTTAGGAATATTTGAAGGAGCATGGCATGCATCATCAAAATCAATAATGAACCAACTGTCTCGATCTATGGACTTTAACACATTATCCCAACAGAGATCGCAATGCATGATTTTCATTTTGTGGAGAGCCTGAGAATGGATATTCGTTTATAAAATACCTACATTTTCAAGATAGCAGACAATGGATAAAATGAAAGATAATAGATACCTTAAGGGCAGTCAAAACACAACACAATGCTTCCTTTGATTGTGGTTAACACATCATGCCCTTTGGTGAAAAAATCATGAATGGTGTTGATCCTTCCTCCATATTGACGTGATTGAGGGAATCAATGAAAGGAACTTGATGCTTGGCCATTTCATCATAAAGGGTCTTAAGGTTCATGACAGAATCCACTGAAGGATAATGTTTCACAACTGTATTTTGCATAAATTCAATCACTTTACCACTCGTTCGATGAAGAACAACAAATTCCTGCTGAAAATACTCTGGCACAGTTTGGCAAAGTAAGTATAACCCTACATTATTATATATATATATACACAAGATTAAAAAGTAAGTAAATGATTAAAACTTGATTAAAATTTGCATAAATAATACAACAATAAATACAATCATTATTTATTCTATCCTCATGAATTCAGAATTTGATAGTACTAATTAATTAATCATTTTGCTAAAATTTTTTTTTTTAAAAAATTTCTAATTTGAAAAAATAGCAAATAAAGAACAAATATTTATTTACCTTTAATTAAGGAGATGACGTTAATTCTAAACGATATTATAGGAAATATATAAATGTTAGAAATATATTTTAATTAGTAAAAAAATACAAAAAGAAAAACAATTTATTAAAATATATATTTTCAGAAATTAGTGTTTGTTTGGCTTTTCACTATGTTTTTGTCTTATCCACACAATTTTAATTCGGACTGGGGCGACAATTTAATCATCATTTGTTATTTCATAAACTGAAAAAAAAAAATATATAATAGTTACCTTTGACTTTTTTTTTTAAAAAAAAGAAAAATTTTTTAATCTGAATCTTGTATTACCTATTACTATTTATATTACTCAATGATGTCACCATAATTTTAAGTATTCGATTACCTGATTCATTTACCTACCCAAGACGTTCGTTTTTCTACAATATTCAAAATCTTCAACAACATGCCGTTTCTTATTGGGATGGATATACATTTTGAGAAAGGAATAGGGAATTTTTCAGTAACTCCAATTCGAATTGCTCAATTTTATTTTTATTATTATTTTATTAGCTGGTGTTTTTTTCTTATCCACGAAATTAATTTTGAGGATGAATGAAGTTTCACATCTTTGATGCTTTTCTTTTTTCTACAGTACTTTAGAAACTTCTTACTAGGAGATGATTTTCTATTGCTGTGTTGGTTAATTTCGTTGATTTCGTTACCACAAAGCTGCCCTGAAATGTATTGCGTCAGGTACATTTTGCAAAACATAAGAAGCATTGACTATCAAATATTTCTTTTCTTTTGGGCTAACATAATATAGCAACATCTCAAGTTATGCAAATAGAAAACTCTAACAATAATTCTAACGTACATATACAACCCACAAAAATTATGGGAGGGTTCATAACGCATGATGCATTGGTGCCCTGGTGCCCTAGTCATCTTCATTGTAAACATCCTAAAAGTTCAGAATTTGGGTATAGTTACATTGTCATGTACAGAATAAAAATAATTTATCCCCCACCTCCCCACAGTATTTTGGTCGTTTCTTATCAACAATATTTTAATTAACTCTGGTCAGTGTTGTGACCCGAAACTCTGAGTTTAGGGAAAACCAGAAACAGAAACTAACAGAAACCACCCGAAACTAGTTTAGGTTAGTAGTTTATGTTTATGTTCAGGTTTAGGTTTAGATTTCTGCTTAGTGTAAGTTCATTTTTCGAAACGTTTCGGGAAGCCAAAAGAGTTTCTGGCCACAACACTGAATCTGGTCTATTCTATTTTGCTGTTGAAGAATATAGGAAGTTGGGATGATACTAATGTTGTTTGACGAAATGTTACCAAAGTTGTAAGACTATTAGCAAGTAAAATTGCTTTAAAGGATGATAAAATATAAAGCTCACAAAAAAACTTATGAATATATATTCCAAGGTCTTTTTTTACATATATATATTTCTTGTGTGTCCCAATCTCTCCTTTGTTTCATCAGTTGTTTCCAAGAAGCCAAGTTTGTCTTTTGCCGATAAAAAATTCAGTTCCCACACACTCATTTACTACTAAACTCGGACGTTTCTTAATAACGTGATACATGACCGGGCAGATAAGATCATAGATTAGGAATTCGGTACTTAATGGTCAACTAATTTAAAAGCTTTCTATAATTAACTGTATAAATAATTATGGAAGTTTTTATAATATCAATATTGATTGTTAAATTACTTTACAATAATAAACCTATCTTTGTTTTTATCTTTATTTATTAAGGATAACTTCCGGTCTTCGCTTGAAAAAGCATAACTTTGAGTCCTCGCAGAGGGAACTAATAGACAATTAACATCTAATAAAATAAAACTCTGTGATAGAAAATAAAAAAATTGTCTTTATTTTCTTTGTTTAAATCGCTTTGATAAAAGCAACAAGTGTAGCTAATGCCTCGGTAAAGGTAACAATTGTGAGGCTTTGGTAAAAAGCCACGTTTTTTTGCTTTAGTGAGCAAGCAAGCAAGGTTAGGATTAACGTTGGTTAACTTGTGAGTATTAATAACGATTAATAACGTAATTTGCTTTAGTGAGTAAGCAAAGGTTTGGATTAACTAGTATGTGTTGATGAAGTATCGTCTAAAGGTTAATCGGAAATATTGATAGTATTATTGTAATCGGAAATGTAAGGCTGTTAAACAAGCTACTTAAGTTGTTTGCAATCGGCCAATAAATGTAAACAAGGGTAAACGACTGAAATAAATCGAACGCAATTGAATAAAAGAAACTTTATAGAAGCCCTTGAGCTTGTAAAAGGCCATCTTTATTTATTTACAGTTATCTGGTACCACTAAGTGTGCTCACAAATTTGTCTAGGTACAAGAAAGAGAGAATCAAAGTAAACTCGTAAACTAATTAATTGACAAGCGCCAAATTAACTGATAGGAGTAGCCCAAAAGTTAAGCCATAATTGTTAATTAACCGAAATGGTACCTTGCAATATCACCATTTAATCAGAATCAAAAAACTGTAAAAAGTTCATTGTTATAATTTAGCTTTGAGAAACAAAATAAGGATAAGATAAAAAGATAAATAAAAAGATAATAAATATTAAAATTAGTTATTCATCAATTCTTTCTTTTACTATTGTTACCAGAATTAATTAATTAATAATGGAATTTTATTCACTTTTGTTAAGATTCCGGAGAAAAGAGTTAAAATCAAGATTATTTAACGAACTGTTATTACTTGTATAACTTTAAAGCTTTTAGATTTAGCAATCTCTTCATCTAATATTCTACATGTATGATATGCATCTGGATGTGATTTTTGTTGTTGCGAACCACAACCGCCGCCGCTGCTGCCATTATCAATTTCACATTTTTTTTAATTTTCGAAAAATTTTTTATTGATTTTATTAAAATTAAAAACTATCATCGCTACTATTATTTTTCAAACTTCATTTTTAAAATTTTCTTCCAATTTATTTATAACGAATTCATAAAGCTCTTCAATATTTGGCCTTTTTGATGGATGTGGATCCCAACTCCTCCGCATCATTTGTGCATAATCATCAGGCATTCCTGGCGAAATTGGTGGTCGTAAACTCTCTTCACATATTAATATATCAAAAATTAAACGATAATTATGAGCTCTATCATCAAATGGTAGATGACCAGCAAATATTTCCCACATTAACATTCCAAAACTATAGATATCTGATTCTCTTGTGTTCCTATTTCCATTAAGTAGCTCAGGTGCAATATATGATACAATTCCATAGGCTTTATTTGATGAATTTTCATCAACTGGACCACAAAATCCTAAATCTGTAATATAACCAATACCTTTCTTCACAAGTATATTACCACTATGTAAATCACAATGGATTAAATATTTTACATGTATACAATGTAATGCAATATACAAATAGACAATGATTGCATTTCTGTCTTTTAATGTTAAATTTAAACGATTTTTTTGTAAATAATAACCACTTAAATCTCCTTCTGGATAATGATTTAAAACTATTGCATAATTTCCATTATCTGGGAATTTAGTTATACCATAACAACCAACAATCAGCGATTTAATTTTGGAATAATTCATTGTCTGAAATTGAATATAAAATCAATTAGTATTATATAATACAGCATTATTTATTTTTGTTTTAAATGACAACTACCAACCTCATCAAAAAATGCTTTTACCTGGATCACTTGAATTATTTAAATTTTTTTAATACCAAATTTTGCCTTCCAAAATAAATAAATTCCTTTTTATTTCCATCATAATCATTAATACTTCCTCTTGTCCATGTAGCAGCAAAAATACACCTTTTTTACTTTTTCAAATTGCTCAAAAGGAATCCATTCTAAAATAAAGTCTGGCAAAGATGATTTCATTTGATATTGTTGAATAAAAACATCAATTATGCTAGTTCCAGATGTCCAATCAGTGAAAAGTCTCTGTAAGTGTAAACTAATACAACCTTTACAGAATCTATCAGAGTATCATGTCAATTTACACTTGTTATATTCTTTTGGCTTGCCCCATTTATAAATTGCATTATTTATTTTAAACTCATAAATAAATCTTTCTTTACAATATTCTTTTTCATTTTCAGAAAAGCTCCTTTTTTTTTTTTTTTTGACTAATGAAAAAAAATAATCCTTCATCAGAATTGACTACTGCACTATCAAACATTTCATTGTCGGTTTTAAATACAAATTCCTTTCTTTCTGGTGATAAAAACGATAATAATTTAGCATGTGACATTGTATAAAATATAAAGTTCAACTTGGTGTTTTAATATGAATGTGGAGATTTTTTGATAATAACGGTTACATTATTTCCTTTTTCTTTGCGGCGGAGAATTGACATGACAATTCTTTCGCACAACATTTTTATTGGTTGCCTTTAAGTTTTTCTCTAGGATTAATTGATAAGGATGCAAACTGAAAAACGAAAATTGCATTATTTAAAGAACAACTTCATCGTCACCAAACTCTCTAGTGATCGATTTATCGTGATTCAACAATAAAAGCATTTCAGCATTCTTCAAAGATTTAAAAGTGATAAAATAGAAAACAAAATTAAAACTTACAAAAATTATGTACCAAAACCTGTCTTATGTGCTATGTAAAGGTCGTCCTAAGTATCAATATTGATCAATCTATGTTGCTTCAAAATCAAAAATTCGAAAAAACATCAATTTAACATAACTCATATGAATGTAAAGACAATTTGATTTTATGAAATCTAATAAAAGAATAGTTTTAATTTGCAAAAAAAAAAATTTAGTAAAATTTCTAATTCAAATTTATGACATTTTAATTTGTAAATCTCACATGATAATACAATAATAATTCTTTTACATAATTTGGGACTTTTGATAATCCTATTTATCATTACCATTATTGCACCCTGCTTGTATCAGGCGTTTTTGCTTACGTCAAGCGTCTTCACTTACGTCAAGCGGTTTTACTTACGTAAGGGCTTTTACCTTAGTCAAATCGCCGAAATAACGCTATCTTTAGTTAATACTTTAGTTACGTCAATGGCTAAAAGTCAAAAGTTTGCATCATTAGATGGTACAATACAATATTCCCATAATGTCCCATGTCACTGGAAAAAGAATTCTTTATTGGATTAATAATACATTAGACAAACCCCAATTATACTTACTTGGAAGGGCTGAATGGGCGAGAAAGTTCTCGAATTTCAATAATTGGTTGATAAATTGGAGAATTTCCCAAATATTAATATTTTATCCATCTCGTTTTTTAAAAAAAAATTTAAAGTAGACCACACAAAATTGGCATGCTTATTATTTGAATATCTGTTCTTTGCGGATTAACTTCAAACAGGTGGTTTAGTGTTTTATTCAAATATTCAAAATTCGATTATCAATGACATGGAATATCCAGGAATTAATTCTGGCTGATTTTCTTTTTTGTAAAAAATTTTCCTCTAGCATTTCTAGAAGTTAACATTGTTAATCAAGTAAAAGGTAAATAAACCTTTTTGATATCAAACAATTGATAATTTTATTAGCCAACTTTTTATTTCAATTGCTTTAACATTAATTAGGTATTACAAACATGTACACATTACAAAAAGTTTATTGGAAGAAGATCCACTTGTTTGGTGGAATCAAAAAAAGGTAGTTTTCAAATCTTGCTATGCGAGCAAGAATTTACTTGGTAATATTGGCAAGCTCAGTATCGTCCGAGAGGTTGTTTTCATCAGCTGGAAACGTATTTGCAAAGAAAAGAACTTGGTAAAAATAGGATTCATAATATTCTTTTTTTTTAAAAAGAAAATTCAAAACCTTTTGGATGATTCTTATTTAGATTTCTGATGATTTATATGTTCTTGGCTAGCTTAGAAAGCTAAGGTACACAGATCAAATTAATTACTTGAAAAAGGCTCATAATAAAGACAAAATAGGAAAGTAGATGTTTATTAAAAATTTTGTAAAACGAAAATTTTCTATATTCGTAATATCTAATCTTATATAAATTTTTGTAAAACGATGATTTTCTATCATTCATCATTGCTTATTTTATTTTTAATTATCCAAGCGATTAAAAAAAAAAATCCTCCAAAATGGTTACATCTATTAAATCCGCCTCTTCGTTAACCCACAATGACCTGAATAAGTTTGACATGGAAAAATACAATAATTTACAAGATGTCGAAGAGGCTGATTGAATGTTAAGACAAATATCCGAATTTAGCGAACTTCTTGAAAAAGTCAGGGCTTTGACTGAATAAAATAAAGTTGGATTGGGGCTTTGTTTAATAAACATCAGCTTGTGGAAGAAGGGAAGGCGACGATAGAAAAGTTGGATTAACTTGATAACAAGCCGGCATTTATTTTCACGCGGACGAAAAAACTTATCCTGCAAGCTGGCTAATTGAAAAAGGATAATCAATATTTCGTTTTGGGTATTAAACAGACCCTTGTGTGAAGAGGGCACTGGATAGATTGGTCCAATGCTCTTTTGTTTTGGAAAAGATCGCTCAGCAAACAAAATTTGGAATCTCTTATTGCACCTTGTATTCATGCAAGAGATGCCTTGGTTCGCTTTGAAGAAGACAAAGACCTTGCTGAAAAGCCAATACCCAACCGTTGACCAACGTAATTCAAAGCGAAATCAGTAAAACCAGCGATGATACCTTATGGAGTGTACCTATGATGCTATTATTTTTATGTATATTTTTATCAATATCTATAATATTATTATTTTTTATGTATATTTTATCAATAAGATTATTAAATAAAGATACAAGGCATACACATTTTCAATATTTAATTTGAGATTCTGTGGTTTCTGTTTTCCTATATGCTTTTACAGCACAACTCCTCTCTGTCTATCAGAACGTTTGATCATACTGCATGATCGAGAATTTTTCTTTGACTTTTATCTGGCTGGAATATCCATTTTATTCGACCAATAAAATTCATAAACCATGCATCATATATAGAAATTCTGTGTGCGACCTTTGATGTTGCTTTTTTTGATCTATTGATTTAATGCAATCTTTGAAAATTTTTTTGTGCAGTGTAACGTGTCAATTGAACAGATTTCTGTCAAATTTTACTATGTTGATTGGTTATCTTTGGGGCTGGGGTAGATTAGATATATTAATATATAAAAAAAACGCTCTTCCCACCACCAGGGTACAGTACCAAATTTTGTAAGAGTTCATATATACAAGTTAACATAAGATATAATATACATCAAGACAAACATCCAACTCCAAGAGCAGTTGTGGAAGCAGTCTGCTGAAATAAACAAAAATGATACAACAACTTTTATTATTTCAATAAAAGGTAAAAAAAGCAAGATAAACCCATTTTTGAAATCCGTGTGAATTTTAAAATTCCACGCGCAACATAAACACTCCTACCCGAAATTTTTAATTATAAATTTCAAATTTTTGATTTTCAATTATAACACATACATATACTCAAAGACATATTTCAGAACAAGTTCCGTTCAGTCTCGAATTCGAAAAAATGTAAATATGAAACACAGGCCGTACTTACCCCTATCGATGCCTTTAGATAAGATTATTAGAAATTATTAAGAGCATTGAAATTTGATACAAATAAATCATGCAAACATTATATCGGTGTTGCAAGTTAAATGTGATCTGCACCAAACCAAGTAGCTAAATTTAACGTATTTTGGGCATAATGAAGCAAAAAAAAAACAAACGAGTTACTGAAGATACCTTGAAAACTTTAGGTGACCCAATGAATGTGTTGAAAGTATCTTTGGCCTTACTCTTTTACATTAACCATTTTTTGCTTAAACAGACGAAATTTTCATTTGAAACCGGTTCATTAATTGATTATCAACAAAAGGTTATTAGCCAACCAGTTAAAATCGATAAATTGGATTCTTCTGTTCAAGGATTCAATTGGAGAATTACTCCAGATAAGTTATAAATAAATACCTTATGAATTTAAACTTGAAGGTAAATAAATAGTTAACCATTTATTGTATTTCGATTTTCAGCCTCCTATTTATTTATTCTTCCGTTCCGATTCTATTATACCTAAAGAAAATAGACTTCTCTTCTCCCAGGATTCAATCGTTTCATGGAGAATTTCAAGAAAAGTATTTTTGATATATGCATTATTGATAAAGATGGTTTTATACCTGGCATTAAAAGCACTGAATGAAGAAAAAAATATTACAGTTCCTCTTACCAATTCGGATAAACTTGATAACCCAATTGAAGCAGTTTTGAGTTTTAAGCTTGATATTAACAATAAAGGAGAGAAAATCGAGGGTGTATACTCGAATATGCGAGCCTAATAGTGGTGGTCATGATATTAAACATACAAATCGTTATATAATGTAAGGGATTGGAAATTTAATTGTTAATATATAACAAACGACAGTCGAGCAATTTAATAACAAGAATTTCCCAAGGCCTGTCTAATTAAAATTTTATATGAATATTTCGGATCTTGTAATACAAATTATTATTTGTTTTATTTGTTTTATTCGAATCATTCGTTTTGTTCGTTTATTCGAATCATTCATTTTATTATTTGTTTTATTCATTTATTCGAATAGAAACTCTAGGATGAGCAGGCTCGAGTTAAAGCTTGAATTTTCAAGTTCGAGCCGAGTTCAAAAAATAGGCTTTTAAATAGTTTACCTAAAAAAAATTTATGTATCAAACTCGAACTCGAACTTTTACTTCACCATTTGAGTTTTAGTGGGTCAAGGCAAAATAGTTATCGGAATGCAAGTTTAATAAATAACCAGGAATCCTCAATATCGAATCCAACTATTATTGGTCTCCAAAACTAGAGAGTTTCGCAGCTGTGTAAAAATCAAAATGTTTCGCCATAAGTCGAAACTAGTTTTGAACTTTGACCTTTGATTTTTGATTTAGTTTCAACACATAAATTTTAACTTTCATCTCTTCAAAACAGTTTGGTGACCAACACTAAAATCCAACCAAAACCACAACTTCTAATTCTTCGATTAATAGTTTCGATATTAAAGTTGAAACAGAGGAAATGCCAATTTGATGATGATAATGTTGACCACATCATAATATGGTCACGTTGAAAGGTTATTGTTTTTAATGAAATTTGACATTTTTTAAATGTCATTATTATGAATGCTTAAAAGTATTAAGAGTGCTTAAAAGTATTATGAGTGCTTAAAAGTATTATGAATACTTACATAATTAATTACAAATGCTCAAAATTATATGAATATTTGCATGCCTAAAAGTATTACATTATTATGAGTCAACATAATTATAAAAATAACAAATCTATAACAATAAATTTATAATAAGAAATCTATTATAACAATAGTCTATCTCTCTTTCTGTGTGTGTGTACGTGTATGTGTGTTTAATAACACTAAAATATTATACACTTCATATGTTTTCTTATCATTTAAGTGGTTGCTTAAACTATCAGTTCATGCTGATAATGGAGATGGAAAGTTCTGTTGAATATAATAAATCATCATTTTGTAATTCATTATTAGTTTGATTTGTTAAATTAACAATATCTTCAACAGTGTTAGTTATGTCTACATTGTCCAAATCCTGCACAACTTGATCAATACAAGGACGGAGATCTGGATTTTTTTGCCAACATGCTTTATAAAAATAAATTTAATTATTAAAAAATATTTTTCAGGGCTGTCCATTGAAAAATTATAACTAGTGATTATATCACTAGTAATTCTTACCTGTATATATTTCTGCATATTTTCTTGGAGTCCCCTTGATTATTGCTTCACGTTCATCTGATGTCATGATAAGCACTAAATCAGTGAATTTGATTGACTTATCTGCAAATGGAGCATGGCCACTTGACAGCTCCCATAAAAGCACTCCAATACTATAAATATCTGATTTTTCATTGCGACTATAATTTTCAATATCATTTAAATATTGTGGATCTGAGTATCTTATTGTACCAAATTTTTTGGAAGCTTCTATTGAAGGACCCAATAAAGATTTTGAGATTCCAAAATCACAAATTTTAATATCTCCATTATGAATTAGAATATTTTCAGGATGCTATTTAAAAATATTAATGTAAGTTATTACTATATATTAAAAATGTAAAAAATAATAAGTAATGTTTATATGTACCAGATCTCTATGTACTATTTTATTTTCATGCAAATGACTTACAGCACTTGCAATTTGTTTTGCAAATTTCAATTTAGCGTTCCAATCCATTATATTGAAATTGGTTTTTAAATAATCACATAAATTACCATTATCTGCATACTCTAATACAAACATGTAATTTTTTTTATGTTTTTCTTTAATGGATGTAAAAAAAATTAAATTAACAAAGTATAATAAATATAACAATAATTTAATAACAAAAATTCAACGCACTTTCTTTTGTTATGCCATAAAAACTCAATATGTTACTGTGAAATTCTACTTTACGATGTTGCTTTGCCTTTAAAAATCAATTTTGTGAATATTAATATATATTTGTTGGATAAAAAAAAAGATTTACAGATTTATTACCTCATTAAGAAATTGTTCAAAAGTATATTTTTGATCAATATTAATGGATTTTAATGCTACAAGTTCTTGATGATGCTTTGAAAATCCAAGAGAAATTGTTCCAAATGATCCATTATCAATAAATTCAATATTTTGAAAAGAATTATAATCATATAAAAAAATATGTTCCCTTTTAAGTTGATGCTTAAACTTTTTTTCCTCCTCTGAAATAGATTCTACACTTATTTTTAATCGCAATTTTAATGTTTTTAATTGCAATTTTAATGTTTTTAATTGCAATTTTAATGTTTTTAATTGCGATTTTAATTTTTTTGTTTTTTTTTTCCTATTTTGTCTTATCATTTGAACAACTGTGTAAAATGGTCTTTCTATAAAGTTTCAACGGTCTGTTAGCACACTTTATGGCGCGGTTTACAATAAATAATGTAAGCCTTTTAGAAGCGACAAAGGTTTCTCTAAAGTTCCTTTTTTATTTATTTACTTTGACTTTCTTTGGCCGCTTAAAAGCTTAGTTACTTTTTTTTTAACGGCCGTACAGTCGTTTTTCTTCTCTCGAGAAAATAAAACGCCAGTAAAATTTTTGCTCGGTAAAGAAGCAAAGGTTCGTTTCAAGTTTTTGTTAAGTGTAAACCTTTTGGTTTACGTTTTGTAAAAAGTGTTTAAGTATTTAAGTGTAAACGCAAGAACTAAAATTTTTTTATCAGTGTGTTAGTGTGAACGTAAAAGTTGTAAAGTGTTAACGGTTGTTATCGATTAATATTAACCAAAGTCGCCACCGCGTATTGTTACTTGTTAAAATGAGAAATAAAAAAATTAATTTTTAAAAAGATGATTATATTTATTTGATTTATATAATAAATAATAATACTTTCCCGCGTAGTTAAAACTTCCAAAAAAGGAAATCATTCAAAATTTATCGGATATAAATATTTACATGAAAACTTTCCCTTTTTGTACAACCAATTAATCATTTCATGCAATTAATCATTTCATGTAGTAATCCACCTATTTTGCATTGCATTTTTCCTATATTAATGTGTGTTACGGTTTCTAGAGAATACGCGCGAAAAAAAAACGACTACATGTCTTCTGACTATTTTTTTTTTACAATGCCTGTTTCCTAGAATGATAATATCTTTTCCAAAAAGGGAATATTTTTTGGTATTATATAAATAAATCCGTATTTTAAAGCTAACAATACTAAATTTTCGTGCGCATGATGCAACATATGGGGGCTGTTCTAGGAAAAAGTGGGTTTCGACCCTCAGATTCAAAAATGAGATATTTATACCAAATTAAT